TCAAGAAAGCAAAATGATATCCTTAAGATCACAAGAATGATAACAATAGGTTTACGCTATGTGTAAAATTTTTGATACTCAGGATAACCTTCTGGACGCATTTGGACCACTACTAAACTTACTTTCTAATTCCTAACCAAATGCTACTTATTTCTCTTTTATATATTTTATATTTGAAGTAACTTATAACATTTAGAAAGATTACTATCAGATTGTTTATAACTTCAAAAAATTTTTAATATTAATTTTGATTCTAAAAAAGAGAATTTTTCTTCTTCAGTTATATTTTTTCTTTTAATCTTCCTTCTACTTTCAACAGAGTAAATCCTATCAATATTATAAAACATTTAAGATCCTATTGATTAAGTTTTAATTTGTAAATAAATCGCAGCTAAAATTGACAAAGTCATGTGACATTTGGCTGATTTGACCGATTGGCAATTTGGCCGCTGATTTTAGCTGATCAGTCAAATCAGCTAATAGTCAAAAATTAAGTTTGGTTGCAGCCAAATGCTAACTATGACTTATACCTATCAAATCTAAATAAAATGCAAAATCAAACTTAAAAAAATTAATTTTTATATTATTTAATAAAGCAAGAAGGTAGCATATTAATACTATTAATTTTTTTATACAATCTATTATTTGCTTATTAAGTTTAAGTGACCAAACTGCTGAATAAAGTTAATCAAAAAATCCTTTAAATTTAGTTCAAATTCTTGAAGCAATTTTTACATTTGATTTTAGGAAGCCATTCAATAAGGATTCAAAAGATGGTATAATAATTCAGGTCAAAATAAATCAATTTGGAAGGTGTCAAATTAGTTCTGAAATTTTTAGATTGTTGATATCTTTGCGACATGTAAAAAATTCATATATTTTGGCCAAATTTATTACAAATAATAGTACAGTCGATTGTTATTCTGGTCAAGTCTAATATTATTTTACATATAAGGTTGATTTGTCATCTGAAAAGGCTGAATATTTTCTAGCATTTGTTCATTGGTATAAACCTGCAAGTTCTCCAAATATGCGATATTATTTTAACAAAGAAGAAACATGTAATGTCAAATTATGAAATACTGAATTTTATCTGAAAAGTTGTGATTGTATAATACCAGTTCATCATATTTTAGGTCAATTTGTACTGATTAACTATTGAATTTCAGCCCAGTGAAATGCAAAAGAATATTTGGCTGTTAATTCAATTAATAGAAAATACCATTTGTAAAAATAAATTGAATGTTTTAGCATTATTTGGTTATTAATCCTAAATATCAATTATATTTCCTTTTGAATTTTATTTTATTTTGAAATATTTTAGTCTATTTTTAATGTATATCAATTAGATATAAATCAGATGTCAATCAGCTATAAATAAGATAGGTTGAATTTTAGCTGATTTTTAATATATATTAATCAGCAATAAGTATGCCAATTGGCTATAAATAAGATAAGTCGAATTTTAGCTGATTTTTAATGTATATCAATCGGATGTAAATCAGACATCAATTGGCTATAAATAAGATAGGTCAAATTTTAGCGATTTTTGATGTATGCTAATCAGCAATAAGTATGCCAATCGGCTATAAATAAGATAGGTTGAATTTCAGCTGATTCTTGGCTAATTTCTAGTGTATACCAATCGGTTAGGCCAATTTTTGATAATTTGCTGAATTTAGGCTAAATTTAGGCTGATTTTTCACATGTCCAATTTTTTTGATTTTAACCAGTGAATTTTAACCATTTGCTTTTTCATACAGCTGCCAGTTGAACATTACAAGATTTAGGAGGCATCTTACATAATTTTTTTAATTAACACTTCAAAAAAAAATGGTCTAAAAAAAAATTTAAGGGTAAAAAAAAAAAAAAGAAAGATTTGGAGAATTTTTTTTTTTTAAAAAAAAAGGCTCAAATGGGAGTTTTTTTTTTTAAAAAACTTATTTTTATCATTTAAAGGATTTGGTTCTTATATTTTTTTTTTAAAAAAGAAAAAAAATTTCAATTTTATTTTTTAGATTCGAGAATTTTATTTTAAAAGATAAAAAAAAAAAGAAAAAAAAAGATTTGTATCTTCATTTTTTAAAAGAAAAAAATTCATTTTTTTTAAAAGAACAATACTTTTTTACACTCTGAAAAGTTTCTAAAAATCAAGTATTTAATCTAGATACTCCATCATATTACTATAGCTGCAGATCATGGAATAAAGGTTTTCAATACTTTTCTTTATTATAGTTGCTAGCTCTTAAAACTCAAAAAAAAATAAAAGAAGTTACTGCATATCACATAACGATTGTTCTGATTGTTCCATTTTAAGACTATTCCATTTTAAGATTAAAAAGTGGTGATTTTGATTTAAATTTTTTGATCTAAATTAAGTAATTTTTATAACTCTGGCTAACTTTATAATAATCAAATTCATATTACGATCTTAATACATTTAATAAAATACCTGACTTTAATTTTATGTATCTAACGTTACAATCTATTTAGCAAGAAAAGGATTCTGTCATGTGAAAGATAATGATTTGATCTATCATTTAACAGAGAGTTTATTTAAATTAGTTTATTAATTGATCACTTCTATTCTTTTAAGGATATGTAACCAAAAGTGGTGGCTTTAGATTGTTTGCACTATACAATTTTAGCTGCATGTTCCTTTTCTTTATGCATTTTATTTTTGAAGAGTTTCATAGATTTTGGGTTGAACAATGTGTCATTCAATCTAACATTGAGAAAGCTGCAAACATCACCATCGATAACAAAAATGGAAACTTTGCTTCTTCTGGTTTTGATCTTCCTTATGGTATCCCTAACATTGATAACAACCCTAATCCGATTAACATCATGTTGAAACTTGGATCTATTGAATAAATTTTTGGTGTAGTAGTAGCCAAGCCCTCTTCTATTCTTTTTATTTTATTTTCTTAAAAATAATAGTTTTAGCTTAAGTTAGAATTGATTTGAAAAAGTGCAAGATCAGTCTTCTTTAGATTAGTTTTTTTCTTTATGAGATTTTTATTTTTTCTTCTTGATTTGTATTTTATTTTATATTATACTTTTATCATAATAAAGATTATGTGAAACTACCGCATTTTAAAAAAAAAATATTATTTTTTTATTACAAATATTTTATGATATATATAAAATATAAATACAAAATTTGTTTTTACTTATAAATTTACTTTTTTTATTATAAGGTTGCAGTTATAAACTTAAAAAAAGAAGAATTTAAAACTGATTTATTATTTGTAATTATTTTATATTAGTTTACTTCATTATATTTTTTTAAATACTTTAATTTTAATAGATTTAAATATATAAATAATTTTAGTAGAAAATTAATTTTAAACCATTTTTTTGTATAATTAATACCGTATTACTTACCTTATTAAAATCTTATAATAATTAAATATAAAGATAGGTAAAAATCACGTGTATTATACTGATTATAATAAAAATCATAATCTATCTAGCATGTACCCATATGTATTAAAACAGCGACCCAAGTTTTGGCACACTGTTTTTTTTATATATATATTGCTATGATTTCTTATAAAAAATTACAAATCCATAACATTGATAGTTCGTTTTTATTCAATCTTCTCTTTTTACTTAGCTTGGTGTTAACGTCAAAAAATTCAGCTGTAGATCCAAGAAACTTCGGCTACCTTTCATTAACTTATTTATCGGGTCATCTGACTCATTATCATTGTTATTCTCCTATATATGATATATAGAGCCAACTGCGGTCTCGTTCACGAGATACTTTCTAGTAATGATTTTTTGCCAATCGTAGTGTGGCGAAATTTAAAGCCACTATTAAGCCATCAGAGATACACTTTATAAGGGTTGAATCCCATTTATTCATCTTTGCTTATTACTTTGAAGCGTTTTTCTTTTTTTTTTTTCGGAATGCCACCAAGAAGGGGAAGACAACCAACGCGTAGAGAAAATCCTACTCGTGTTAATAATAGAACCACAAATAATACTAATAATGATAATAACAATCAACCTTCTCCAGAAATTTCTGCACAAAACAACGATCGAGCTAATGATAATAGACCTATAGGTAGACCTAGAGGTCGCTTACGAGGACGCCCTCCACGTCCTCGAGGACGACCACGAGGTAGCTCACAAAGCCAATTACACTCAATTTTAGCTTCTCAAGGTGAATCCTTCAATCAAACTGATACAAATCTTGAAGCTTCGGATCCTGACGTTAACTCATTAAGAGACGAAATTAGTTTAAATGAACTGGTAAATCTTCAACAACAAATCCAATTTCAAAGTGATCGACGTTCTAGAGGGCGACCTCGTGGAAGTCGGACTAATCATCCTATACGTAATTCGACATCGCAAACAACGGTACCTCAAGAAGTATCTCAATCAGATGTAAGAGATGAAATTAGCTCTAATGACGATATTACAATTTCTCAAGAAGTTCCGCATCAAAGTAGTCACCGTCCTAGATCACGCCCACGTGGAAATTGGGCTAATTATTCGACAAACAGATTGAACACACATCAAGACACTACTCGGTCTCAAGCAGATCAAGTTATACTGAATGATGACGTGCTTTCTCAAGGACTGGATCCTCAAAATCAACGTTCTAGAGGTCGTTCGCGTGGAACCAGAGCGTCACGAAGGACTATTTCACAGGTTCATGCAAATCGAGAAGCAAATGATAACTTGTCAAGAGATGCTGAAGTTAGTGGAAGTGAATCTCGAGGCGATGTTTCTGGTAATTTGCGTGAAGAAATTATTAATGTATCAAACCCTCTTGATAATTCAACTGAGGTAGTAGCCACTACTATTGCTGATAATTCACATGGACAAACAAGTTCCGTACCATCGTTAGGAAATGAAGAAGATGAAGTTGATGACGGTGGTGATCCTGAGGCACATATAATGGAAGAAAATGAGCAAGATCGATGGAAAAAATTTGAAGTTGGTGCGAAATCTAACAAAAATTTATGCATTATACCTGATGGTGCAGTGAACCTTACACGTCAACAAAGAATTACAGCATTTCTGAAAGGTGCACCAGAGATTAAACCTTCAAGAAAATACGAGGAACTTGACAGTTCATTAAAGACCGTTGTGGAATTTTTGGATAACAATGAAATTATAAAAGCATTTTGTTGTCTTCAACAAATATCGAGATCTCATACATATATTACATTTCAAAGGTTGGATAAATATAAGATATTTAATAAGTTAAATGAAAAGTATGACAAAAATCAAGATATTATTGATGAATTCCTCATCGAAGATGGTAAACCATCACCCCTTTTTTCGTTATTGATTAATGGGTTAAGAACAAAATTAGACGATATCTTAACAACACCACATTTGGTGGACTCCAACTGTGCAAAAATTCGTCTCCGAGACGTATTAAATAAAAAAATCAAATTAAAGTTCGTTGGTAAGACGGAAACTTATTTGAAGAAAGCATGGCCTTATCGACGGTTTAAAAATATAAGTGAAGGATTAACTCGTCGAACAATGACAAACAATGAAATCGGGAGCTTTGATTCGACTCATTTTGATTCTAGTTCTACCGAATCTCACACGTCGGGTGATGATCATGATGATTTTTCGGAAGGCGGTGATGTCGTCGAAGAAATCACCGATCTAAGCGATGTGTCTGAATTGTCTGAAACCGAAACTGATGATGAAGAATTTGACCATGAGGATGAAAATGATGAACTTATACATGATGAAGATATTGTTAATTCAAACAATCAAGAAGTAGCAAATAATAATGACGCGGATGCTCTTGTCCAAGATAATTTACATAATGAAGATCCTCTCGGTTCAATTAATCAAGAAGTAATAAATAATGACGAGAATCCTTTAGGTGCTAGAAGACGAGATATTGTTCCATATGATTGGGAAGAAGAAAGCAATAACGATGAAAGTGGCATGGAACCGCATATCGCGTCTGATGATGATTTTTCTGATTCAAGCGTTTCTGATCATTACACTTTTTGGTTTATGAAGGATGGTGTTAAAAAGAAAATAGCATTAGATTCGACTGTATATACGGTTATTCACAGTTATTTAACAAAGAAAGAAATTCGTACGCTAAAGGTAGATGAAATATTTGAAAAAGAATATATTATTCACTTCGAAAAGGTTGAGGAACAGACATATGAAAATGATAATGATTTACTTGATGAATTAGAATTTCATGATCAAATGCTACTTATTTTAAATCTTATGAGGAATCTATATAATACATATAACAGAAGCGTTTTTGATTACTATGATCCTGATATATTTCGAAGCTCTCAAATAATTCAGAAATTGAGACCATTCGAAAAGAAGTTAATAAGTCGTATTACTGGGTATTATCCTAAAGTGATCGTTACGCTTTTGAGCCACTATGGATTCTTATTTGACGGCTTTTGTCGTCACAAATATTTCATTAGAAATCTCTTCGGTCTTAGGAAGGTACCAAGAGGCTTGTCTCTAAGTCTAATCGATTTAATTAGGAGTAAAAAACTTTTACCAAAAACAAAGAAAAAAGAGAACGTTCAAAAAGAAGGATTAACTAATTGGACTCGAGAGAAGTTCCACAAGTATTCGGATGCAAAAACAACTTTTGGAATTACTTTCGCAGGAGAAATGGGAATAGGCGCAGGCGTAACGCGTGATTTTTTCACACAAATGTCTCATTATTTTCAAACTGTCGGATCTAATATGTGGATCGATCTTGAAACCTCACCAAATCTTGATGATTATGTGAGCAATGAGTACAATTTATATCCGACACTGTTTGATGAAGCATATGCTGCTTCAGATGAAGGAATTCGCGTGCTTAAGGATTTCTACATTCTTGGAATGTTGACTGCGAAATCATTAGCCGACAAACAAATTATGGAAATTCCCCTCAACAAGTTATTCCTCAAAAAGCTCATTTTCGGAGAGTTCCCAACTCCGGAACTTTTCAACTACGATTTTACAAAAACCGAAATTCAAAGTCGCAAGAAGGAAATGAAAGTTAAAAAATTGCTTGGATTGATAGATCAAATTAATCCTTCGATCACTAAAATGATAAATCATTTTCATAGCGTTCAGAATAATTTGGAATTTTCGGATTGTTATTACATTCCAGCTGGTCGTAGTTGGCACAAAAATAATTTGGTGTCCATTGATCTTCCAGAATTGGAATCACAGAATAGTTTCTATGTGTTCTTGAATAAAATCAAAGAAGTAATATTTGAAACTGGAATCCGTGAACAAATAAGTAAATTTAGAGAAGGTTTCAATCATGTGTTTCCTCTGGATCACTTAAAAAATTTCTATACTGTAGAGGAGATACATAAGGTGGTCTTTCACAATAAAAAAGAGGATTGGTCGGCAGATGTTATTCGTCGTGCTTTCTTTGTTAATAATGAAAGCTTTAAAAATGAGGTGGATAAAATTTCACAAATTTTATCAAAATTCAATATCGATGAGCAACGAAAGATGCTCCGTTTTTTTACCGGATCAACAAGGCTTCCTATCGGTGGATGGACCAAATTAAAACCTGAATTAGCTGTCATTGAAGACACGGGAGCCTACCCAATCGGTAGGACATGCTTCAACAAGTTGTCTGTTCCTCGAAATAATAGTCTCCAAGGCCTGGAGGATAAGTTGAAGTTAGTGATCAACAATAGTGAAATAGCAGAACGAATAGACAGAGAATAAGAATATGATCTATAGAAATTAATAATTAAATTTTATAATTTTATTATTATATGGGATTACATTCGCTTTGTCGTTTTATTGTTGTTTCATTTTGCATTATTATTTTTGCCCCCTTTCTGCGATATATGATAGCGTCTTGTATTATAGCTTCTCTCTGTCTTTTTTTTTTTTTTTTTTTTTTTTTTGGCAATTATTATGTAAATACGGAAAAGTTAAAATATTTAAAGTTGTTTACAGTTTCGAAAGTAAATTTATTATTTAAATAGTACTATGATTGATTACTGTATACTATTCAGTTTATATACGTATAAAATCGTTTTATCAAATTAGAATAAACGATACTAAAATAATATAAATATAAAGTATATATATATATATATAAAGCAAAGCATTGCATATAACAAAAAAAAAAATTATTTCTAATTTCCAGACATTATGACAATTATTTAAAAATTTCAATAAATAAGTACAAAAAAAAAAAAAAAAAAAAAAATTAAAGTATACAAATTAAAATAAAAAAAATGCGACTTAATCTATCTGGAACTTAATTGTGCAATGTAAGAATCTAATTCTTGTGCAATTATATGATTCGTACATTTATTTTGAATTTCTCTGTGAGATAAGATAATAACTATAAATACAAGATAATAAATAAAGTACAAGGCTCCTTAAAAGAATTGAATTACAAACCTCAATAATTGAATATCCTTTAATGCAAGTGCTTCTTGACCCGCCGCTTTGAAATCGCCTATTTTAATAAATAAACCTGGTCTTACGGCAGGATCACATTTTTGGATGTATTTTGCAGCTTCTCTGTGTTGCATAGCTTTTATACATTCTTCCACAAATGGCTAATAAAATAAGAATAATATAAAAGGTTAACGATATGTAAAATAAATGATAATTTAATATGCGTTAATCATCATACCTCGTATCCAATCGGAGATTTTTTCAACTTGGAAAGACGATCTAATTCATCCCAATCTCTCAACTCCACCAAAGCTTTTAATTTGATCCACCAAAATCTAAAATATAAATTAAAAAAAAATTTTTTTATGTCAATTCTATAAATCAGAAGTAAATCTACACTTAATGACGTAACAAAAAACTTAACCTTTTATCCGGAATTTTGAATTCTGACTTAAGTTTATTTGCTTTACTAGAATGATTAGTAGTAATGCATTTGTGAACTGTATCGTTCAACGATAATCCAACTAATTGTTGATTTGGTATTTCCTTTTCTAACTGAGCTTGAGTTTGCAACAATTTGATATATTCATCAATCGCCTATAATCGTAAGACAATCTAATTAATAATTTGACAAACACACAACATTCAATTTATTCACACTATATTTTAATAGTACCTTCGCTTCGAAAGCATGTTCTTTATCATCTTGATACCATTTTGATGCTACCTTTAACTTATTAATCCTTTCATTCAAATCCTTTTTAACAATAAAAAGACATAAATAAAATATTTATGTATTTAAAAGATAGAGAGAGATACGTTTGAGGAATGACTCACCTTTCGCTCATAACTTTCTAATATTGTAATGTTTGCACTCTCAACTCTTCGATCATCTTGATAATAAAAATCCGTTAAAAGGTTCAAGTCTTGTTGTTTACAATATACTTCAAGCAAATTACAAGCCATAGGTTTGTTATTAATTATTCGGAAAAATTCAGGAAGTGGAAGCTTCCTTTTAAGATGAAGCATTACCAAATATACTATATATCCAATAAGAGTTAATGAGACTTAAAAAATTTTCATTCAATTTGTTTTATATTATATAATATTACCTAAATCTGTATCACCACTCTCAATAGCCTTTATCAATGCCAATTCATCTTCTTGCACTCTCATGAGCAAAGGTACTTGATCGGCTGCACGCGGCTCATAATCAAGTAACTATAAATAAATTTAAGATTAATTAAAGCTGGAAAATACGTCTGACGTAGGCATGAGGAAAACAAATAATTACTAACCTTTGTTGCTAATTTTGGCTGTCCAACTTTATACGCAGTATCAGCAATGTCCTTATAAGAAAGACCGGGCTTATTGGCCAATTTATCCGCAATCATACGACAAATAGTTTCTTCATCTTCAGTCGATTTTTTAATCTAAAAAATTAGATAGATTATAAATATACGTATTGATTTGTTTATTATTTATTTATCTATTTTTTTAGTAGAAAGAATCAATAAAATTGGCACCTTTGCACAAGCCCAATGGATCAACACTCTATCAGTTCTCATCTTCAAATATTCACAAATTCGTAATGCTAATAAATGGTGATGTCGGGTTATCAATCGATCAATCAATACATCAGGAGTGAGGCGCTCAAATCTAAAAATATAATTTTTGTTATATATTTATAAACTCAATCTTTATTTAATAATAAAGGTCTTACGTACTGTAAGTAAGTTATAGGTATTCCGATCTCATAATATCTTACAGAATTTAACACCCTTAAAGTCTGACACATGTTCACAAAGTTATCAGCATTGTACGATTCCAAAAACGCTTTACCAAACGCGGCAGCCTTGAGTAAACTACGCTGCCAATCCTGTTTAAATTCGTGTCCAGCTGCTTCCGTACAAGCATCAACTGCGTCTGCAAGTTCTGGTCGAATACTTCGTATATTTTCATCTGCTTTTGGACTTTGTTTCTGAAAGTAAATAAATGTGAGAACTTTATTCTGGTAGATCAATTATCGTATTTTAACTTCTTACTTCAAAATTTTCTAAAGCATCGAATAACATGGCTGCTGGTGCTGTTGAACCGATTTTGAAAATTTCTTCGGTGACATCTATTGTAATAAAGTATTTAATATATTAATCATAAGAAATTATATATACTTATTTATTTTATCATTCTATCACATACTTGGAACTTTTTGCAAGAATTCACATTTGTCACTGCTTATGACGCGCACACCATCAATTTCAGGAACCAAATAAATAGTATCATCATATGAATATTTTATGTAATCACCAAATGGACCAACCATTAACACAATCTTATCCCAATATAATACAACCGAATCAGTACCACACCTAAAAAAAAGATAACAAATATTAATAATGTACGTATTATTCTTTTTTTAAAAGAATAAATATAAAGAAGCCATCATACCAAATTAGCTGCTGAGGCGGAGCTTTGAAATTAGTAGTAAATTCCGAAAGATTCTTATTGAAATCAGTAGATACCACCCAAAGTTTACCGTCAGCAGTAAAAAGAGCCAGAAACTTTCCGTTAGGTGATACAGCCATTTTAGTAAATGGTCCTTGTTGAAGCAGCTGCATTAAAATAGATCTTTTTTGTTAAATAATAAATTTGTAATTAGATCAGTTATACTTTATAAAACGCACTTGGTCTTGAGATTCTTTAGTGTCAACGGTCAAAATCGTAGAACCGGTTGCTAATAATACTTCTACATGACGGCTAAGTGTATATTGAGGTGGAATTACCGTCCAGCTATGTGGTGGCTCGTTTAGACCTTTTATATTCAAAATTGATAAATAAATTCGAAAAACTATTATATTATGGTTAATTAATTATGAAAATATCAAATACCTGGATCTGCCATAAGATGCGGTCTAGGTTCCTCAAAGTTGGTAAGAACTATTAATTTAAAATTTCCAGTTAAAGCTACCAACCCAGTTCCCCATATCTGACAATCAATAACAGAATATTCTTTTGCTTCCTAATAAAAAATATTTAGCATATCAAATACCAGTCCAACATCATCATAAATGCAAAAATGAACTCACTTTAACAAGGGAAAGTTGAGTATATTCTCCGTTGATGTCATATAACCTAATTGTACCATCTTCCAAAACTACAACAAGCTTTTCTGATTCGGACCAACCCATTGTTATAATTCGACCTTTGTCCCACTGGAAAAAAAAAATTATTTTAATTCAGAAATAAAAATTTGATATTAAGGATAAGAAGAAAAATTAAAATTTACCTGTAATTGTTCCATCAATTTTCCTGCAGAGGTATAAAGATAAATGGTAGGTTTCACCGGCTGTTGCTTTTGTAACGTCAAAACCTTTTTATCATCACGAATCATTGCTGTGAAAAAAGGAAAAATAATTTCGAACAAGATTTCAAGATCATTGAATTGAATTGATTTACAAGGACGTATTACGAATAAAAACAACGATATTTAGAATATCTACCAATTGGACCACCATATGAAGCTCCTGCAATCATATATTTTGAAAGGTCCATATGTTTCCAAAGCATTGTATATATTTCTTGTTTCCTAGGAACAAAATTTGTTTAATCGGAATGCTTTAACAGACATCTTACAGCCGAAGGGCATTTCTTACCGATAGAAACGATCTTGCATTTGAATCCAATCAGTTGTCGGGGGCGCCATTTTTGAGAAATAATAATAATGCACCAGAATTAGTCAGAACCTTGTATTAAGGATAAAACAAGTTTGAGCTTAAAAGAGGAAATATACAATATAGATTCTAAAATATAAATCTTATTGTCACGCTACGTCAATGGACATCTAACATACAGAAAGATCATCCCATTGTTAGATCAGATTGCCATGATGTAGTACGAATTAAAACGCGTAGGTTTCAAAGTCTCCTGCGGCTAAAAACTGCCGTCTGTAATTATAAATTTTTTTTTTGAAATTTGCGGAATTATACGCGTTATATTCCGTAAGTCATGAGCACCAGGCCAGTTTCTTCTTTAAGTTTACGTCCAAGCACCCGAACCAAACTGATCAAAGCTGGCTTTCAAACGGTTAAAGACTTGCAAGAAACCACACTTATAGAATTGAGTAAAGGTTACTATTTGCTGTTAAGGCCACTTCGCTTTCTATACTTTTATTAATTTTTTTTTTTTATTTTTATTTATTTTAAGAAATAGGGATATCGAACAATGAAGCATTAAATATATTGCATCAAATAAAAAAAAGTACTATATTCATTAATATATTTCAAATTGATTAAAAGATATTTAAGTAAAAATTTGTGAATTTATAGATAAGGTTACATCAATTTCTGCATCAGAAGCGTTACAACAAGAACGTAAACTATGTCCTATATCTACTTCATGCGAAGCTATGGATCAGATGCTTGGCGGGCGAGGAGTTCCCATAGGAAAAATAACTGAGTTCTGTGGTGCTCCTGGTATGGGTAAAACACAGCTAGGGTAATGTTCGGATCATGAAACCTTTTTTTTAAAATATATAAATAAATAAACATATATATATACTAAATTATATCTTAATTCATTGTAGGATGCAACTTTGTGTTAATGTTCAAATACCACATAATTTATCCGGCCCAGGAGGAGAAGCAATATTTATCGGTATACAATGATGGTTACTTCCCATTTTATATAGTTATAGAGATTATTTATTCACAATAGTTTCTCTATCAAGATACGGAAGGTAGCTTTATCGCTCATCGTGCTGCTGAAATTGCTAAGGCAACAATTACAAAACTTAACGAAAATACCGTAGCTGGAGATGGTGAGATCTCGTGGCTAATATATGATAATTTGTTATAATCATATTCATATTTTTTTTTAAAAAAAAAAATAGATTCTCTAATGAACTTTGAGAACGTCATGTCAAGAATTTATGTGTCAAAAGTTCATAACTGTGATGAGTTAATCGCGCTTATGAAAATCCTAGATGAATTTTTACAAGAACATCCAAATGTAATTTATACCTTTTAATTTGCTCAATTTAATTAGTTGCAATATTAATAAATTTTTTTCAGGTAAAACTTCTTGTCATTGATTCAATTGCATTTCATTTTCGTCAACAATTTGATGACATGGCACTTCGAACGCGACTGCTAAATGGGCTGGCTCAGGATTTAAATAAGTTTGCACAAACTTATGAACTTGCCGTGAGTACATTTTATGTAATAAAAGATTTAAAGTAATCACTAATAAACATGTCATCTCTTTGATTTAGGTTGTTTTGTTTAATCAAATGACTACAAAATTTAAATTATCTAGAGATTACAATGTTAAAGATCAAGCCGCTTTAGTTCCAGCTTTAGGTAAAGAAATTGAGATCACACAATTGAAATGTTCATATGAATTTATTTACCATGATTTATTTATATAGGTGAAAGCTGGGGTCATCAATGTACAAATCGTATAGTTCTTTATTGGCGTAATGAAGTTCGGTAAGATTGGCTTAAAATATCTTGTTTTATTTTCATATATTGATGTTTTTTATAAATGCAATAGTTGCGCACAACTTGTCAAGTCACCTAATTTACAAGAAACCACTGTACATTACCAAATTAATGTAAGCACGTTAACGATAATGTATCATATTGATTTAAAATCTATTACCAATAACAAATTATTATTAAATGTTTAGTCGGATGGTTTTCGCGATTATCTATCAAACCTTAATAATAATGGTAAAAGAAGATGGGAAGAAGAAAAAATAATTCAGGATAATACTTGAATATTTGTTTGCATTAAAATTTATAACTTTTTCATTAATACTTACATCAGCTTTAATTTTTTTAAATCAAAGCTTGAATATCTAGTAAATTTCAAAAAAAAATTCGAATAGCTTCAAAGAACTTATTAATATGTTCTTTGTCTTATATTATATAAAGAATTCTTTATTGAGTTTATCACGTTCTTACAGCGAAGAACGAGTGTGCATAAGATCAAATATCTGTATATTATATCCTACATAATAGGAATTTCTGAGCTTTTATAAACATCTATCCGATGCAAATAACAATTAAAAACCCTTGATTAAATGGTTCGGTCTCGTCTTTTTTCTATATGCTAAATAAATAAATTATATATCATCATCGTAAATAATATCTAAATTGAAAAGTATTATTAAAAATCTTACCTCGACAACTGAAGTGCCATCTCGAAATCTTGTACGAAATAATACATTAGCATTATTAAACATTCCGTCTTTGAGTGACACAACAATAAACTGTGATCCTTTAAACCGAGTTCGAAGTAATTGTCCAATATTTTGCGTATGTGAAAGGTCTAGTGCCGCATCCACTTCATCAAGTATGTACATTGGAGCAGGTTTAAATTGTAATAATGACAAGATCAACGATAAAGCAATAAGCGATCTATTAATTTAAGATTAATTCAGTTTATAAACAAATTCAAATAATCATACTTTTAAAAAATATGCGTTCGAACTTACCGTTGACCACCACTTAGCTCTGATAGACTTTGTTTCCATACTCCTCCAAGGCTCACTTTAACTTCTAAACCTTTCATTAGATCTTGACCCTCGGGTGGTTGAAGTTTAGCGAAGCTATTTGGCAACAATTCGCTAAAAATGGCTCCGAAATCCCTAATAAATCAACAAATGAATTAGAAACTATTAAATTTTATCTTTATTATATCAAAATTTTTCTTACTCGGAAACTTTCTTCCAAGTTTTCTGTAATGCATCTTTCTTGTAATCATCGAGAGACACAATAGTAACCTCAATTTTTTTCTTATCTTTTTTGACAGTTGTTAACATTTGCTTCAAAGACGCTTCTTTCTTTTCCACACTAAAACAATATAAAAATATATTATTATACATAAGTAGTATTAAATGATCTTTCCATAACTTTATAAAAAATAAATTCAAACCTGTCAATCATGTTCATAACTTTAGCATTGATTTGTTTACGCATATTGTTACGATTCATCTCAAGTTGCCGTAACATCTTTTTGCATTCGTTCGGGTTTTGATTTATAAAATCATATGCGGTACTAGGTTTTCCGAAATGGCTATGAATAAAATTGTTTTAGAATACATTGTGATAAAATGACAAAAGAGTATTATACATAGAAAAGTAATAAAGAAAGTACTGTTTTTGATTTAAAATCCAAGTGTGCTCGCTTTCCATTTGTAAAATAACTTGTTGAGATGCATTCATATCTCTTTGAAGATTTTCAACTTCATGATTAATCTTGGACATTTCTAATTGAGTTTCAGTCATTTGTGCTGTTTTTGTTTTAATAACTATTTGAATTTCCGCAATTTCCCCATCAAAAGCCGAAAGCACATCTCTTTCCTTTTCTAATTCAGTTTGAGTTTTATGTAATAAACTCTTAAAAAAAATAATTATATAACATTTAGGTAAACATGTGTAATTGTTGAAATATTTTATCAGTACAATTAATATTAACCTTAAACCGATCTAGCTCATTTCTCAAAGATTCATCATCTTCGGATAATTGTCTAATGTTATTATCAACATTATCAATTTCTTCGTTGACGTTTAGCAGATCTTCTTCTAGTTGTTCTTTATATGTATAAATTAAAAAAAAATTAATTTTCATTTTCATTAAATTGAAGTTTGGTAGCTTCAAAACTTACTAATCTCCAAATATAAAGTTTTAACATTCCTCTCCATATTCATAACAACTTGATTACTTTGTGCGATCTCTGATTTTCCTTGAAATACTGATTTCTGCATCAAATATATAATATATGAATAAATTACATTCCTAATTCTTTTAGTTACTTTTTTTTTAACTCATTTGTTTTACCTCTAGATCTTTTAGTTTTGAATCTCGATTATTTTTGAACTCTTTCATTTCATTTTCAATTCTTTGACATGAATCTAAAGCAGATTTCCGTTTTCCCTTAGCAGTCTCAATAATGTTTTCAAGTTCGATTATTTGAGATTTGGTATTCTCAACGGAATGAATGATCTAAATTAATGAATATTTAATGTAATGTATGCAAGCAAACATTAATCATTATGGTATTATTTATCTGTCAATTACCTGTGATTCACTACTACTGTTGATTTGTTGTTCTAACAACGTGACTTCATGTGTCTTTAACTCTAGCTGTTGTTTTATTTGATTGTACTCGTCTTCTATCCTTTGTATGCTTTGGATTTCAGCATTCAGATTGTCGAATTCTTCCTGATAATTCTTTAGTTGCTGTTTGTATCCTTTTAAAGTTTGCAATTTCAATAGTATTCCAGCAGATGAAGGTCTGGATCCGCCGTGAAGAGTTCCAGCTGGATCATAAACATCTCCTTCAAGAGTGACAGATTTTGCTCGTATATTCCTATCAAATGTGACATGTTTAGCCGTAGCGGCATCTGCACATATTAAGGTATTTCCAAACACATATTCCATAGCAGGTGCAACTTCACTATCATAACCGATTAATGTCAATGCTAAATTTACTTTCTCAGGAGCGATCCGTTTTGCACGCGCAAGCCTCTATATATTATCCAAAGAAATTTAGCAACATCAATTTTTAAAAGTTGATAGTTTCAATTAATCTCACCTCAGCTGATATCATGAACGATTGAATCTTATTTAAAGGAATTATTGTTACGCGTTTCCGTAATCGTCCTCTATCGAGAAGTTGATTTCCAACCTTATCATTCTCCACGACCACCTGTATTGTAAATATCAAGATTACTAATCCTTCTAAGTAAATAAAATCATAATTATGTGGTAAACCGTACGTTATACAATCTACCACCAGCACAAACTTCTAAAGCGGTCGAGCATTGCATATGTTGCGGATTCAATTGAATTAGCTCAGCAACTAAACCTTTAACTTTACTACGATCAAAGTTTGGTGTTGGATCACAATATTGAAAGTTTATGCTTGATAAATTTGATAAAGATTCACATTTCTAGTAAAACAAAAAAAATCAATAAATTAATTAGTTAGTGCCTATTTCTTTTAAGAATAAACAAGTTAAACAAATCACCTCTGTGAACTCTTGTATTTTTTTCTGTATTATAGAATTCTTATTCAACAAACTTTCTTTTTTACTTGGATCCCAATTAATGTTTGATAATGTTCTCTAAACAATTTAAACGTTTTTTAATACCAACTTCATAATTTACGATGAGTTTTTTTTTTTTTTTTAAGAAATGCATATAATTTAATACCATGAGATCTTGCGCTGATTTTTTAGTCGATTCATAAGTCATTGATAATTCTTGACTGGTAATTTGAGCCTTTTTTGCTAAAGGTTCTTTTTCTTTTAAATCTTTTTTGAGATGTGACATCCTTATTTTGGATTGTTCTATTTCTGTTAATGCATGAGATGCATTATTTCTTGCCTCTATAAATTCATCATATATCAATAATGTTAATATTATAATTAACAAAAATAGGTAAATTTAAATATACCTTGTAACTGCTCCATGTATCCATATTCGTGTCCCTCTTCTGCTGAAAGACCCGTAGATAAGGTTTGTAAAAGTTCATCTGCTTTTCTTACTTGTACACTTTTTTCATCATGAATTCTTTTTATTTCTTCGAACTGAATTTCTAATTTTTTAGATTCTTCGGTTTTGTGCACCAATGCTTGATTTATCTAGGTTATTTAACTCAAATTAACATCATGTTTATCGACTACATAATTTGATATAAATATTTTCTTTGATTCATTATACCTCAGCTTTGTTTGATAAAAGAAAACTCTTATTTTTCATTTCTTCATCGATAGAAGCTTTGTTGAGATCACATTTTGTATTGATGCGAACTAACTGGTTTGAATACTCCGTTACATTGTTTTCTAGTTCTTTAATATTATCACTTTTCCCTAGTTCCTGTAATCATTGCATAACTTAAATGTAAATGTATTAAAGTAACAAAATCAATGATAAATAAAGAATAAATACAAAATACCTTTTCTTTTTTAGATATAGTCTGCTTTATGTCCTCCTCCAGATAAGCGAGTTCTTCCTTGAGACGCTCACAAAACGTTTCTGATTCTTGAATTTTATTCTTCTTTGCTTCAACTTCAGCTCCCGAATTATTTAAATTTTCCTTAAAAACGAAAAGGAGAAAAATGGAATAGACATTTAATAGAAGCATTTGTATTTATATTTAAAAAGAATATAAAATTACTTGATTCTTTGTATATTCGTATGCAATAACAATTCGACTCAACCGTTCAATCTCAGTTTGAGTTTTTTGATATTCCAAATATGCCCTTTTTTCATTTCTCAATTTTTCCAACTTAGGCTCAATTTCTTCATTAAGTAGCTATTAAAAAGAGATATATATATATTTCAATAAAAATGTTTAATTCATTGATATAAAGTCAGGTTGTAACAATTACATTTGTGATTTCTTCAACTTTTTTTTCCTTTTTTGCGAGGGTTTTCAATGCTCTTTCTTTTCTCTCTTCAAACATACGTGTACCAGCAGCTTCTTCAATCATTGCCAAGATTTCTGGAGGTTTCATGTTAAGAACTTTTGTGATTCGACCTTGCATAATCAAAAAGTGCGGATTATTGATATTAAGCTGAACCGATTGGAATAGATTTCCAACGTTTTGCTGTTGAGTTCTTGTTCCGTTAACCATATATTTACTTTGTCCACCCATAATGACCTATCAAACATAGTTCATAGTTAAATAATAGAAAGCACTGTTTATATAAATTAATCAAACCAAGTTTTATAACTCACTTGTCTAGTTACACTTATTTTCTTATATTGTTCAAACCCAACGGGACTATTATTTCTATCTTCGTTATTAAACGTAATAGTGACTGAGGCTTTATTGACACCAGCTTGACCCCGTTTATAAATCAGGTCTTGCATGTTATTTGCACGAACCTAAGCATTCGAGAGATATGGTTAGGTTGGTTTTTTTTTCTAATGCGTCAAACCGTTTGAATAATTTTTACCTGACTTAAGTTTGTTATGCCTAACACGAAACATATCGCGTCCAGTATATTTGATTTTCCAGAACCGTTAAGTCCTGTAATGGCATTGAATGAGGAGTCCCATCCAGAAATATGAGTACGAACCGCATAAGATTTAAAGCCTTCAATAACAATTTCTTCGATTCTCATTTTTCCTTGGATAACTTAATCAAAGGTATAATAATTCATAAAAAAAAAAGGGATAGTTAAATATTATTTTAATTATACGTCACGCGTTTAATGATTAGGACAGATCGGCAGATTGCATTTTCAGATGGATAAATTTTCGCTTAGCATTTATTTATTGAAATTACATAGCATTTATTCTAATTGATTTAATTTATCTCTGGAATTCTCCTATGAGATTTGTGTTTTTTACTGCATATTCTATAAATTTTCCAACAATACCTTTTCTCCATATAAAGCCAACATTTTCTTAATACAGTCAGACCTATCTATAATCACTCCTTTTGGTTTTTGAAAATTACGTGATTATAGATAGGGGTGATTATAAAAAAATAAAACCTATATATAATCACCAATTATATAAAAGACATACTATAGTGATTATATGTAGTGAACCCATATATAATCACCAGTTATATAAAAGATATACTTTATATAGTGAAAATTTAAAAGTCATGTGATTTTATTATATATATCAAGTTTAAAATTCGCAATTTTATTAATTTCAAAAAATTAGTAACAAATTAACCTACTGTAACAAAAAAAGAATCAATAGAAGTTTTTTTTACTTTCAATTAGTTTAATATTCATTAATTTTGAATATTTTCTAAAAATCTTTAAATCTTCATAATTAAAATTAGAATTATCCGATTGTTGAGCAGAAAAAGTTATAAAATTTTTTAAATCTTATGCTGCTTCTTTTATACCAATTAATTCTAATTCAGGTTCACTATCAGATATAATTTCTTCATTAAGAACTTTAATTACACATTCAATTATTTGTTATCATCCAAAAATTCTTCAATTAGTAATTCTTCTAATTTTCCTGCATATTGTTTAATATTACCTAAAAATGGAATGACAGATTCAGGTAAAATATCAAGAAGATCTTTAATATCTTCAAGTTCAGCATCCAATTCAATATCAATTTGATCAGATGATATTTCTTGTTGAATATAATTTACAGATGGTAAAATTCCTGTTTTAATCCAACAGTTTGAAATTGTATTTTGTGATATATCTAATCATGCTTCTGATAAATAATTAATTGTTTCTAATAAATTCAATTTATTTCTTAATTTAAATAAAAAAAAATAATTAATTTAATTACATAATATAAACTTAAATAAATAAATCCTTACTCTTTAATATCTTCATTATTATCAAATATCTTATTAAATGTCAACAATAATTTTGTTTATATTTAAACTTTTTAAAAATAAATAAATAATTTAAAAATTAAAATTTTAATTAAAATTAAAAATTTTATTACTAACCTTGAAATTATTAATTATACCTGCATCTAATAGTTATAAATGAGAAGTAGTATTAGGTAAAAGATATTTAAGAGTTATATTTGTAAGTTTTAATGGTTGATCTTAAATTAAATTATTTCAATTTTTTTTTTAAAATTTACACTTTGTGATGGTCTTGCAATTGCTTCATCAGTATTAATTTCAGAAATATAAAATAATAAAATTATAAATTATTATTATTATAATAATTATAAATATATTTTAAAATATAAAATTTTTTCTCTGATTCATTATTGTTAAAAATTATATGTAAAGATGCATTATCCAATAGTATTAAAATTTTTTAACCTTGAATTTGAAATTTAGTATCTAAATCTTTTATCTAATGATGAAAAATACTTTGCGTTATCCATGTATTTTACTTCAATAATAAGAAATTGATAAATTATATAAATTAATTCCATGAAAACAATAAGATTTTTATGTATTTCAAATTACAAGTAGCTTGATTTTTTCTGTTCCATTTGCATTACATATTAATAAAATAATAACTCTTTGCTTATTCTATATAATAAAATATTATTCAATAAAATATATTATATTATAACATTTTCAGAAAAATTTATAATGTCTTTACCTTTTTTGTTCCTGAAACAGATTCAGAAACAAGTGTTTAATTAGGTGTCATATGATAAAACAAACCAGTTTCATCACAATTAAATACATCATTTAGATCATATTTAGAAATTAATTTTTGTAATTCAGCTCTTTTTTTAGATAATGTAGATAAAGGAACTGAATTTGCTTCTCCATGTATTCTTTGTTTACTTAAATTATTTCTAGCTTTAAATTCACCTAACTAATTATTTGAAAATACAAGTGTATCTTCAATAATATTTAAATTCTTTGCGAATTCTTTTGCCTTTTCTCGTAAAATAATATCTGATATAATCATATTTTTTGATAATGCTTGCTTCACCCAAATAGAAAGTGTCTCTTTAAGTAAAAGATATTTTTCTTCATGATGCTTATAAACTGGAATTGTATTATTTGTTATAATAGAAAGCCATTGTGTTTTATATTTTAAAATTTTACTAATTGTTGTCTTTTTGATATTAAGATCGTAAAGTTGATTAAAATATGCTGCAATATCTAAATGAGATATTTAAGAGTTTTTATTATAAAATTTACAAATTTCACGTTTAGTTTCATCACTTATAGGTATTCTTTTCTTTTTTTCTCTTAGAATGCTATATTATAGGGTAAAAAAATTCAACATATAACTTGAAAAAAAAGTTGAATTCAAATGAATGTATTTGATTAATACATGTGAATTAATCTGTTAATCAACTAGTAATTAAACAATTAACTACTATTACTTAATCAGTTAATTAATCATAGCTTAGATTATCAAATGATAATTAAATTAAATTAACAAAAGAAGATTTCATAAAAATATAATTTTAAAAAAAGTAAATTCAATAATTATTATCTATAAGTAAAACATTTTCTTATCATATATAAGTTAATGATGATTTTAAATAAAAAATAATTTAAGATAATGATTATTAAAATTATAAAGAATTTTTAATTTAGTTCGCTTAAATAATATTTGCAATCATGTAACTAAATAAGCAAAAATAAATTAAAAAAAAATATTCTTCTTTTTCAAAAAATCTAATAAAACTTACTTACTTTCAATTATTTTTAGAAGAAAAAAAATAAAATTAAAAGCTTATTCTGAATTGACCATTTTTAAAAAAAAAGTAAAATCTTTATAAAAAAAAAAATAAAATAACCAAAAGCATACTGATGGACTAAATAAAGAATTTACCTAAAAAAAGTTACTACTATTTTGAATTGTTTATTTCTAAAAGAAAAATGGTTTTTATTAGAAAATATTCAAAAATTTACAAAACAAAAAAATCCAAAGAAGACATTTTATTTTTAAATTATTTATTCCTAAAGAAAAACATAAAGTTCTTATTAAAAAAAAATGGTTTAAAATTATATATAAACTAAACTTACCACTGCTATTTCAAATTGCCTATTCTTTAAAAAAAATCAGTTTTCAACTGTTTTAAAAGAAATACTACAATTTCCCAAAGTTGATAAAAAAAAGATTGATAATCTGCAAATCACAAATAATAAATTCAGTTAGTATAACATAAAAAAACATTTTAAAAGTGTATTTTTTTAAGTTGGATCATTTATTTATACAACACACTTGCTCAATACCAGCTAAAAATTGTTGAGTAATAAACTCTTTATCAACTAATACCATTTAAAATCATGTTGTGCAACTTAATTTAAAATGTTGAATAATATATTTTGTAAAATAATGCATATAAAACTAATACATATACTAAGATATTTATCACATAATATGTGATTATAAATAGTTTATTTTGTAATTGTTTGAATATAAAATTTTCTTTTATACTAGTGATAGTAATTAGTATATAGTGGTAATTATAAAAAGTATATTTTAACCTTATAATTTCAGAACATTAAAATTAAGTGATAATAAACAGAATGTATTTATATGGGATGGATTTGACTGTAGTTATTGAATTAAGACTTTTAGAAACTATTTTTTTGTAATACCTCTCATGAATAATCATAAATTTATGTGAATACATCAAAGATATATAATAAGTTTAACAAATTTTTATTAGATAAAATTGATTTGTATATATTATATTATTTATATAATGCCAAAAGTTTATACTCAATAATCATATAACTTTGTTTCAAATTTGGGCATTCTTAAATATAGGCTTTTAACTTATACTCTATGTATAAATAAATTTTTTTAAAGTAAATATTACATGATACAAACAGTTACAGAACAGGATAAGAGTCTATATTCCTAGAACAAGTTAAGAATCCCCTTCAAATTTTAGTATTAATCACATATCACATGATAAAATATTAGCCAATAAAAAATGACCAAATTTTATGTGACTGGAAAATCATATTAAAAATAATAAGACATGTTTTAATTTTTTTACTATAATTCTTATACATAATATTTCTAAATAATAAATTAAAATAGATTTTAGTAACATGAAAGTAATCAATACTACTATAGAAGTTATAAAAACAGCTAAGTATTATAGTCAAAGCTGAATATAATGATGTTTTTGTTTATCTAAAAAATATCGGTATATCAAGATATCATTATATCAAATTATCTTTATTTAACGATATAATAAAGAAAAAT